AAAACAGTTTCAACCAAGAATACTATACCCACCAAGATTATCCTTCATATGGAAAGAAAGGATAGAAACATTCTCAGATAAACAAGATCTGGAAGAATTTGCCAAGAGCAGACCCATTCTTCAAGAAGTTCTGAAAGGAGTGCTCTACCAGGAAAACTAAAGACACATACAGAAATAAGAGAACAAAAAGCAAATAAGAAAATGACTAACTTAATGCTAGAGATAAGAAATCAATAGTAACATTGAATGTTAACTTCCAGGATTTAAATGGAGAGTTGAGACCACAGTAACACTGCAAATTCAACAGAAGAGAGTTTGAACATAAGACAGAACTGGTGAAATAGAATTTTATGACTTTTGAGTAAAACATTACTGATTTTTTTAAAATATGCTTTGTTTTCCCGATTTAAAAACTTTGCTTTCTTTTGAGCTGTTGATAGGTTCAACAATTTGTTAAAATACTCCTTCTTATTGTTGTTTCTTTACATGGAAACAGACTTTTCTTCTTTCCTGACCACTCTGGAATTGGAAATATTTGAGAGTATTCTTATCTTGTGGCTGAAGGGTTATTGGCATATGTTCAATAATACCTGTTACATTGATCAGAAATTGGAAATTCTCATTATTGGACAGAGCTTTGACTAGAATGTCATATCTGAAGATTAATCAGAAAACTATGGAACTAAGGTAGATCTCATGTAGCCTCTCTACCAACAGAAGCTTGTGGAAAGATGGCCTAGCACCATAAACAGTTCTGCCTTGCAGAGAAGATTAGAGAGGCTACATGAAAGTATATATACCATAAAATAACCTGGACTTTTCCAGCCCAGCATTGTAATCAGTAGAGCTTGCAAAAAAGCAACCACAACCAGAGGATTATCTTAAGGAAGACTTTGAAGAGAGAAAAAAGAGATGGATCGTTACTAGCAGATGGTATATCACAGAATACTTGGTAGGCAGGGGTGGTTTGAGGTTTATGTGTGACTTATGTGCTGGGCATTTGCTTTTCAACAGTTTGAATAGATGACATGTGAATATTTTCTCAAAATTATTTAAAACCACACTGTCTCTGTTGCTATAGAATCTCAAACAAAATTACAACAAATATTTTGAACATTATCTTTAAAATTCAGTTTTTTTGACATTTTGAAAGTTGTTTATTAACTGTCAAGAACTATGGAGTATGAGCAAAAATTTTTTGTATGTAAAGTAAATGTAGGAAAATGTAAAAATAAATAAATGA